CGAGCGGTCTCACCGGGCTGGAGACTTTGCTATAGCACCACACCCACTGATGGGACCGTGGTACAAAAACCCTGGGTAACCAAACACTTCACTGTTGGACTTAAGGCCGGCCCCTCAGGAGAGAATCCGTGCCCGCACTATAAACTGGTTAAAAGCCCATGGCCAAGGAGGTCACGGGCCCTAAGAGATCCCGCTACTGCTGTCTTGCTAGATGGACGTGTCAAATTGCCTCCTAATTATTTATGTTTATCCACATCAGTGGCCCAAGGCGCTGCTTTCCGCAGAGGCCAGCAACTGATGAAGGGACTCACACTAGCCGGAATGCCGAGAAAACCTGACTAGTGAGTGCTCAGCCACGAATGGGATGTCTGTGTCAATCCCTGTTTGCTCACGGCTCAGGGAAAGACAGAAGAGGGGCAGAGAGGATGCGTGACCTGGAGGGTGGGGACGGGTGCCGCGAAGCACTGTTTTCTGGACAAGACAGAGTGGTGTACTCACACACTCACTGAAGCTATGGTTACCTGCTCAAATCCTGCACAAGAGCAGGCCCAAAAGATCAGCCAGCATTCCAACAGGCAGCACTAATTGACTCAGTAGGTTGCTGTTTTGTCTTTTTTTCCCCCAGAGCTGAGGACGGAAGCCAGGGCCTTGTCCTTGCTAGACCAGAGCTCTAACACCGGCTAAATCCCCAACCGGATTCATTAGCTTGCAAAAACAAAACCCAAGAAAGGACGTGAAGGGAGGAGGGGTATGTTGGGCATGTGGGGACGGACAGTTGGAGGTGTATATGATCAAGATACATGAAATAAAAGGGAAAAAAAAAGATCTGTGGGGAATTTTTTTTCCTTCTGAGACAGGGTCTCGTTTAGCCTAAGCTGGCCTCAGACTTGCGATGTAACCCAGGATGACCTTGACTTCTGGTTCTCCGGCCTCTGCCTCCCTAACGCCAGAACTTTAGGCATGGATTACCAGACTAGACACTGGGGCTAAACCAGGGCCTGTCCATGCCAGAGCTCTGTCCTCAAACCCGAGTCTTCTGAACCCGGGGCTAGCTGTAGAGCCCTGGCTGACCTGGAACACTACGTAGCCCAGGCTGGCCTCAAACTCACAGAGATCCGCCTGTCTTTGCCTCTTGAGTGCTGGGATTAAAGGTGTGTGCCACCATAACCTGCCTTAAATCTTTTTTATAATATATTCATTTTTATTCATGTGTCTAAATGCTTTGTCCATCTGTATGTCTATGCACCAGGTACATGGCGTTGGATCCCCTGGAGGTAACTGATGTTCGTAAGCTGGGAACCACTCAGCAATTGTCCTTAACCACTGAGCCATCTAGCCTACTCCAAAACTTGGAATCTTTCAGCCTCAGCTTCCTAAGTAGCTGCGCACCACCATATGCAGCTTGATTTACTATTTGTTTTTTATTTATTATTTTTGAAGATATGGGAATCCAATCCGTGGTCTCACTCGTGCTAGAAAAGTGCTCTGCCACGACCCTGTATCTCCAACTGTTTTTGTATTTTTCTTTTTGTTTTTGCTTTTTTTCAGGTTGTTTTTTTTTTGTTTTGTTTTTTGACAGGTCTCTCTGTGTATTGGCCTTGGCTGTCCTGGAACTCACTTTGTAGACCAGGCTGTCTTGAACTCCCAGAATGCCTCTGCCTCCAGAATGCTGGGATTAAAGGCGTGGGCCACCACTGCCTGGCTGTTTTTTTGTATTTTTCATTCTGAGACAAGGTCTCACTAAGTTGCCCAGGTTAGCTTTGAACTGACTATGTAGTCCAGGCAGGCGTTGAACTTTCAGCTGCTCCTGGAGTAGCTGAAATTAGTCATGGACCAGCAGGTCTGATTAGCATTTGTTCTTCACAATTGGTCAGAGGACAGGGAATCTGAGGTTCAGAGAGGTTAGTTAGGGACTCTGTACTGGCTGGTGTTGTATGCTAGAGTCAGAGAGGAAGGAGCCTCAGTTGAGGAACCGCCTCCGTGAGACCCAGCTGTAAGGCATTTTCTCAGCTAGTGATCAATGGAGGAGGGCCCCGCCCATGGTGAAGAGCGCCATCCCTAGGCTGCTGGCCCCAGGTTCTGTAAGAAAGCAGGCTGGGCCAGCCACAGGAAGCAAGCCAGTAAGCAGCACTCCTGCATGGGTTCTGCATGCGCTCCTGTATGGGTTCTGCATGCGTTCCTGCCCCAGGCTGCATGCGCTCCTGCATGGGTTCTGCATGCGCTCCTGGGTTCCCCAGGTTGTAGTCCTCGAGTTCCTGTCCTGACTTCCTTCAGTGATGAACAGCAATGTGGAAGTGTAACCCTTTCCTCTCCGACTTGCTTTCTGGTCGTGGTGTTTTGATGCAGCAATGGGAACCCTCGAGTTACAGCTGCTAGGTGGCAGGGCTGGACTTGAACTGACGAGTCCCCTGTGCTGGTGTGGGAGCCAGAGGGAAGAGACTTGCCACCCTCAGCCCAGCCTACAGCGTCCCAAGTTCTGCACTTAGTGAGCCCATCTGCAGCTTCCCCACGACCGCTGGCAGGACAGACAGACGCAGAGCCAGGCCTGTAGGAGGTGCTTTAGGAAGCGGAATATGGGCTGCTGAGTTTGAGGTGTCCAAGATGAGACTGGAAGGACATTAGTGTAGCACCTGTGGAGAGGAGGACCACTTGGGAAGAAACGGAACTCTTGGGGCCCAGGCATCAGGCTTCCGGTTTCTGCTGCCCCATGGGGCAGAAGTGGCAGGAGCTCCATAAACACTAAGGCCCGGATGAGCTAGGACAGCGACCTTTGGGAAGGCCCTCAGAGTTGAGGTGGCTCGCGTAACAAGGAACTCAGGAAGATGCAGAGATGCTGAGCCCTGCAGCCCAAGTCCTGGTCTTGACTCCAGCATCCCGACCATAGCAAACACAGGGAGGTGGCTTGGAGTGGCTGAGCATTACCCCAGACACAAGGTTTGGTTGCTTAGGTAATGAGTGTAGGGTCTGCTCATGGCCTGGGAGAATGGAGAACCCCATGGGCTCCCCAGGCCCAGGGCAGCCCTATCATGAAGCAAGCTTCTGCCTCCCTCAGGCTCTCTTTTCACTCAGGTCTCCAACATAGGGTACAGGACCATCTGTTTTCAGCCAAGAAAAGCTAGAGGCCAGGATGTAGCTCACTCAGTAGTGTTTGCCTAACATGCACCAAGTCCTGGGTTCCATCCTCAGCAATGAACAAACCAGGCTTGGTGGCACAAACCTGTAAGTAATTCCAGAAATTGAGAGGTGAAGGCAGGAACATCAGAAGTTTGAGGCCAGCCTGGGCAGTATCACAAAAATAAAAAAAAAAAAAAAAAAAAAAAAAGATCAGGCCAACTGCAGTGGTGCTCCTTTAATAGTGAGTTCCAGGGCAGCGAGAGGTAGAGACCCTGTC